AGAATGGGATTAATATATATCACCCGCTTTGTTTGCTTATAGGACCACAAAACAAGCTACTACAAAACATAAGCCGTTTTTCTTTATTTACAAAAAAGAAGCAATATTTCTCTTTAACCTTGAGTTAGACATTTCTCCTTCAATAGAAGAACCATTAAAAGGTCAAATATTATGTTGTTTTGAGAGTCTTTTAGAACAGTTAAATCTTGTTCATCAGCAGGCTCAAGTCATTATCAAATGTAGTCAACAAAAGCAACAAATATGATATCAAAAACAAAAATTAATAGTGAGTTATTCTATTGGTGACAAAGTACTTATCTATAAATCTGCACTTGATCAAACTCGAAGTGGGAAGCTTGAAGAAAAATAGATTGGTCCTTGTAATATCCATGATGTATTGGGTAACAGATCCTATAAAATAAGGACAGTCAATAGGAAAGTCTATAAAAAATTTGTACATAGTAATAGACTAAAACGGTTTATTGAAAAAGTAAACAGTTATAAATAATTATTTTTGCTAGAGCTTGATCTTAAAGGAAGAAGTATGTTAGTATTTAAGATTTTATTCTACTTTTATGTGACTAAGGTAATCTTTAATCGACATTTGGTTCTTGTAATTTATATGTAATTTTTTTATTTTTCTTTCATTCTATTTCATTTTTATTGTTTCATACTATTTCATACTAAATTATACTAACTTATAAAATTTTCTTTAGTGCTTTGTAAATTCAAGACCTAAAAAGTATCTTCATTGCATATCTTTGGGAGTTTTAAGTTGTATATATAGACCTTCAATATTCCTTTGAGTAGTTTAGAATTCGAATTCTCACTTGAAATATCTTTATTGTTTACTTTTCTTTATTTATTTGTTTATTTATTTATTTATTTCTGTCTTTGATTATTTTATTACTTATTTATTGTTATTTATTTTATTATTTATTTCTATAATAAAGAAACCCTTGATTAATCATATAACAAACATATCTAATAAATATCAAATTTACACA